ATATATATGTGTGTGTGTGTGTGTGTGTGTGTGTGTGGTGGTTGTTGTTGTTGTGTACCCTCAAGTCCTTTCAATTTATGGCAACCCTAAGGGGAACCTCTCATGGGTTTTTGGCAAGTTTCTTCAGAGGGGGTTTGCCATGCTATCCTCTGAGGCTGAGAGAGTGTGACTTGCCCAAGGTCACCCAGTGGGTTTACATAGTGGAAACCATGCCCTGTGAAGAACAACTTAGGGAACTGGATATGTTTAACCTGGAGAAGAGGCAGTTACGAGGTGATATGGTAGCCCGCTTTATCTATTTGAAGGGGTGTCATATAGAGAAAGGAACTAACTTGTTTTCTTCTGCTCCAGAGAGCAAGAACCCGGAGCAATGGATGCAAGCTCCAGGAAAATAGATTCCACCTTTACATTAGGACGCAATTCCTGACAGTAAGGGCTGTTGAGTCTCCTTCTTTGGAGGTTTTTAAAGAGAGGCTGGATAGCCACCTGTCAGGTATGCTTTAATTGAGAGTTCCTGCATGGCAGGGGGTTGGACTGGATGGCCCTTGTGATCTCTTCCAACTCTATGATTCTATAACCTGGAATTTGAACCCTGGGCTCCAGAGTTTTAGTCTAACCCTCAAACCACTAAAACACACACACACACACACACACACATATTATGTGTGTGAGATAAAGCTTCTTACATTCTCTCTCTCTCTCTCTCTCTCTCTCTCTCTCTGTCTCTTCCCTTACTCTTAAAGCTCTTGGCTCTTAAGAGAGAAAGGCAGTGGCAAGCCCCCTCTGAAGAGACTTGCCAAGCAAACCCCATGATAGGTTCTCCATAAGTCAGAAACCACTTGAAAGCACACAGCAACAAAAAGGACCTGCTACATCAGCAGAAGGGCTGTGGAGCTTAAGCTACTTTAGGGCCCACTGGGCAGAGCTGAGAAATGTAGCAGAGAGAGAAAAAGAAAGAGGGAAAGAGAGGGAGGAGTGTCCAGGAGTTTAACTCAGCTGGCAAAAATGAGGACAGTGCCACACTGCAGCATGAATGCAGTTTGACACCCCTTTAACTGTTATGGATCCATCCTAGGGAATCTTGGGATGTGTCATTTGTTGTGGCACCAGAGCTCTGACAAAGAAGGCTCAATAGCTCACAGAATTCCCAATCCCACATTTCCATAGCATGGAGCCACAGCAGATTGGGTATCCATTGGGCGGGGTAGAAATAAAATTTTATTATTTATTATTATATAAATCAGTGTCAAACTGTATTCATTCTGCAATATAGATGCAACCTTTGCTCCTCCCACCCCATAAGAATTTTTTCTTCAGTCCCCAAATGAAATTTTTCTTCAGTCCCCAAATTTCTAGTATTGTAGAAAAGGATTTGCTATGTTCACCTTTTCCTGGTAACTTTTTGGGCCTTTGCCAGAAATAGTGCACTTTAAATTGAGGCACTGACCTGGCTCAGTGCTAGGAAATCATGGGAATTGCATTTTTTTCTGAGACATTGAGCCTTCTCTGTCAGAGAGCTCTGGTGCAAAAATAAAATACAGTTCCCATGATTCCCTAGCACTAAGCCAGGGCAGTGCCTCCAAGCCAGGGCAGTGCCTGTTATCAGCTTCGGCTGATACGCCAGCTGCGCCCATACCT